CACTGAAGAATTAACGAAAGATAGAAAACGTGGAGGAGGTTGACTCGATTAGCGGATCCCAGGACAATATGCTAGGAACAAGGAGGAAAGCTTTAGGATCATATCTTTTTCTGACTTTATGTTAGCTTTTATAAGCATCTTCGGCTTAATCAACCTATAGCTGATCGATTTACTGATAATGGTAGAAGGTAAGCATGAGATTGCACGCAATGCTTTAGTATGATGAAATGCACTTCCTACGGCAACTGCCCTGGCTGTGGAGACCAGTCGCGACTGCCGAAACAATCGGTTAAAGAAACTAGGAAAATCAGTGGTCGACGAACTCCAAAAACTTGTCTTTAAAGCAAGCATTCCTTCTTCTCACGAAGGCAGTGATACGGCGCTGATCTCCATTGCTGAGCGATCATCCATGAATCCATTATTTTAAGGGCAAAGTCGGCAGTAGCTATGTTGAAGGATATTGTCTAGTCTTCTGTTTCCTTTCTACAGAGCGTTACTCATTTATGAATCTTGAAAAGAAAAAATGCGAGAGTCCCAGATCGAGGCTTGAACCCGAGACCTTTAGGCTCCATGTTCTACTCTCTGTCAACAGAGCAAACCCAGTCTGAAGCAACGTATGCTAAATTTCCTGCTCAACGTCGTTTGCGGTTGAGGTAAAGATTGCTCTTCCGCCAGGATCGAGCGCAGACCCTCAATAAAGCTGAATCTGAACTCTTGGCACCATGCCATCGCTCAAGCATAAGGAGTACTTAAAAAATAATAGGTGGATAAAGCCACAAGAAGATCAGCGCAGCTCCTATGCGGATATCCTGCATAGCAACAGAAAAAATGGCATTCAGTATTATTGGTATCTACAGCAACATCTGGTGTAAAACTGTCATGAAACGCTCTAATATGATTGGTCATATTGGAAACTGTAAAATTGGCATAGCAGTATTTGGGGCAATGAAATTTACCTACCAGCATAAAATTTCTCCCAAGAAACATCTTCAAGAGAACACGTCTAAACACTATTGGATCAATTTAAACGTACATACATTGAAATATGATTAGAGCTAGGTATCTATCAAAAATGGATCCAGAGACTAACACAACGAAGAAGAAGACATAGCTTTCCATTAAACTTTCTTCGTCAACATTTTCGTTCGCTTTTTACTCGTTTGCCCTTATTCTTCCCTCGTCGCTGCTTCCATCCCTTTTTTCTGGTTCTCGATTTCCACTCAACAGTTTTGATTGATCAGTACATCACATTCATTCGATCTTTCTTATGCTTTGATTAATTAATTAATTATTTCTTTAATGAATTAGTTCTTTCGTCTATCCATTCATTCGTTAGTTCATTCATCTGTCCATCTGTCGGTTCTTTATTATGGCTCATGCAGCGGCGCAGCTCCGCTTCTATTCCTGCATTTTCTGAAACGTCGCCATATGCAGTCAATCAGTTGTTGGTTTTCCCTCCGAACATTTTCCCACCCATGATCATAATAAAAGTCGGAATCAATGGCGAGTTGTCTTACTAGGGATATCAGAGGGAAAGTCAACGAACCAGCTTAAGGTAGTGGGCGTCATGCTGCCTGAAACTCTAAAACTCAAATATCTTGGCTCCACCCTACTTGACAGTAGTGAAATTAACAGTGAATTAGAAAATAGGTAAAAAAACGTGGTTCAAAGAGAGTAGGAGAGCGGTGTACTCTGCGAGATGAAGATGCAAATCGAACTAGAGGAAAAGCTGTTTAGAACGATGGTAAGAGCCGCACTTTTGTACGGAACTGTTGACTACTTTGAAGGGACACGAGCAGCAGCTGTACTCTATAAAGATGGACATGTGGTGTCAGCAAAAAGAACGACCATGTCTAGAATACCTGCGTAAGAGGCGCCCTTAGGTGTACCATCAAATACGAAAAGTTATTTGAAGTACGTTTTTATTTCTGCAACGTCAGACCGAATTAGTTAGGCAGTCACTAGAAGCCAATAGCACAAGATCAAAAGAGTATGGTGCGATGGATG